AAAAGAAATGATCTCTGATAAGTTTGGCTCAAGTCGAACGCCAGGCACCACCCAATGGACCTGTGTAGAAAGCTGTTCACTGATTCCAAGGGATACGCTTTGCACATTTTGACGTTGCCATGTACCGAAAGTAACTCCCTATTCGAGGTCGACAACCGGCTGCACTCGGGTGATTTGAATGCAGAAGGATTCTTTTTGGCGCCACATTTTATGAATCATAGGCACTATCAAGCTGCCTGTGACAGTTTCTTACGCGGGGAGTCCAAATATTTGTGTTGAAATAAATTAATTGAAACTGCATGGTTATATTAAAAAATGACTTAAGCAATTGAAAGACTATGGACATGGGATCAAGCACGATATACAATTCTGTGGAATTCATAAATAAACCGATAAAGCGAATGCTTATATCACACACGCGATTAAGAACATAAAACGGATATAGGCGTGATATTGCGAACAAACAAGTTACCTAATGTTAAGGTACCATTATTTCTAGCATAAAAATAATTCAAACTAAATGTTTGTTCCCGCGCCTTGTTCACTAGTTCCCTAGTGTAATCAAAAGAAACTGTTTTCGATCTGTTGGAACTACAAAACACCATGTATTCAGGAAAAACACGTGGCTAATTACGCTGAGTGTTTTTGTTTTCTTCCTTGACACCAATGCGCACTCATATATATAATAACATTGGGCTTCCTATTGCAAATGTTCCGCCCTTATTAGTAACCAAACCACAGTTCTTATAAGTTATTGGCATTTGAACCCTCGAGGCTCTCTTCGAGTCATATATGTATTCAATGTGTGCAAGTGCTAACGCTGATTCCTGTTCCTATAAAACCTTTTCACACGTACCCCGCACGCCGACGGTAAAAAAATATTCAAAACGTGTTACGAAATCAACTACAAAAGTGGCGCGCATAATTTTGTAATGCAATTGCATGGTAAGTATAAGTATCGGACGACACTTTACGGAGTAAGGCAAGAGACGCGGTGAAACGCGACGAAAAACACGAATTCAACGCATTCGCCAAGGCGCGGACGGGAGAGCGGAGCAACAAGCTGAAGCGACCTAATGGCGGCCGCACCACGTGATTCCAAGATGGCAGCGCCCATGCGGCGGAGGGTGAAAAGGTCTATACTCCGTTTCACCCTAATTTGGCAACCCTCAGTCAGAGCTGCTGTGAGGGAATCACAGTCGCGGAGCAAAGCACGTGACAGCTACTTTTAGGAGCAGTACTATGGCGCCTGCAGCGCGTCTCCAACTGGTGTGTTTAGCGTCGTATGCTGGCCATACATCAAAAGTGGTTCCAAAGTGCAACAAATGACGTCACAGAAGACGGAGTGTCACGCTGTTGCATCTCGCGATCCTGGCAATTCATCGTAGAAATGCTGGCGAAAACCACGAGGGAACACGAGTGTCGCTGTCGTCCCAACGAAAAGCAATTATACAATTTCGACGTTTTTGTAATTCGGTAATTTAAATTACTGTATACAATTTTTAAGAAAGTAAAAACATCATAACCAAATAGGAACTTCCGTGCTAAAACATGCAGTGCGAAGTGAAGACAACTAGTATCTTTTTTTTTTCTTGATGTCCACAAAAAAAAGGCTATGCAACATCGATCCTACCGTTTTTTTTTTTTTCCCGCACATTATGTGATGTCCTCTAACACGAAAGTACCGACGTAAAAGCGCTGTAGAGACGATATAAAAACAAAAATTTAAGTGAATCGAGCTTTGTAGTGGAACGGAAAAAAAATAAATAATTAACGACTTTTTACGGTAAACACTTCACCTCTAAGTAGAACTTAAAAAAAGTGACGGTTATGCGCTTTCATGCCCATTTCAACAAAGTTGGGAGAACGATGTATTGCATCTTGTGAATAGACATGTGGAGCAGCATGTTTATGTTAGAGGCATTGTGTGTAATCGCTGCGCAGTACCTGCCAAAAGAAGATATTATTTGGGCACAGTCTCAACCGTTTCCGTCTGTGTGTGCTACGAATACAGCAACTCTTTTCGTAGAAGAAGTGATGAGGAAATGGCGTGCCCTTGATGATACGATTGTGATTATGAAATAAAATTTTTAATCAGCCAATAATTGTGACCTGTCCGGTCGCCTGGAACCCCGACAACAACTATCGTTCTCTGGAAAGTTCATTCTAATATTTACACGTTTTGTGGAGTTCATCGAGCGAATAAGAATGTTCCAACAATGAGCTAAACCTACACGAGTTCCCGAATCCAACACGGCGCTTTTGAATTTTAGCGCCGTAAATAGTTCTGCGAACAGTGTATACTTCTGTGCAAATATTCGTCTAACAGTTTTGCGACGTTGGAAAGCATCGGAATGATTCAGAATCACTGCGGAGTTGATACTCGGGAAGATAAGACGGGCACTTGGGAGAAACGGACCGTGGCATTTGAGACAGGGGCACAACTGGGGGACAAACGTGCTACAATCGCATACCCTTCCAAGGTCATCGCTTGGGCGACCGCGCGCGCGCCTTAGAAACCTTCCTTTTTTCTTTTTAGGGGTGGTGGTGGTGGTGAGGAAGGGGGGGGGAGGGGAGTGGTGTAGGCGCTGATTGTCTTCCTCCTTTGTGGCTTTTGACAGATGCACAACGAGACTGGCAGAACAAGCGCATGATTCATTTCTTTCGATGGAGGCGTACTGTCTGTGTATGCGAACATAATTTTTTTTCCCCTTTTAGTAGTTAGTTGTTCTTGCCTTGACTCGGGTCCCAGTGGGTGCGTTGTCGTTGTATGCCCACTATTTTTTTTTTTTTTTTTTTTTTGTTTATGGTAGTTTTTGCGCTGATGGGGTATCAAGGTAGACAAAAAGAAAAAAAAATGAAATAGCGCCTCGACAAAAAAAAAAAAAAAAGTTGTTGCGATGAGGAACGTTTTCAAAGCGATTTTAGGAGCCTGCAGTGTTACCACAGGTGCAGGATTGAGAGCGTAACCCACGCACTTGAAGAGAAGGGGAAGCTCTCGTCTTATTGGAACTCTCTTTTATGGGTTTCCACGTCGCGATTGTCCTTCAAAATCAACTGTCATTTATTTCTCGCTCGTGGCTTCCAAGTACTGGAAGCCACGACTCGAGCCACAATAGTTTTGCGAAATCAAGGTTTCGCTGAAATGGATAACTCTCACGTACAGTTCGACGCGCAATACCTTTGCCGTATTGACTCGCGAGAGATGCCCCCAACACGGCTGAGTATGGCGGTGCTCCAGACCTAACATCTAAATTTTGTTGCCTTACCTCTTACTATTTCGCGCCCATTTTGAGCCATATCAAAATGAAAGCGCATGATGAAATAAAAATGACACTCGTTTTCTGCTCGATGGAAATTTCACGCCAGCTCGCTGTCTTTGCTGGTACCTTGAGCGTTTCCCAGCAATGCGGAGAGTTAAAAAAAAAAAAAAAGAACACACGTACGATGGCATTCTTTGCACACTCATTACTTCTATAACACTGAGCCACCTTTTGTTTTTCTTTCATGGTACTAATTTCTTTCTGCACATTACGGCTGTTACAACGCTAAGTCTGTCTGCACCTTCGCATTTGAACTTAGGCTCAGATCAGGGGCGAACCAGTTTAAATCAGGAAAATATAATTAACACTGTAGCAAAGTAAATCTATCATATCGATCGGAAATACGATTTGGCACATTCCATCTGAACACATATTGTGCACAGCGAATGCAATAGCGAGTCAGCGTACAAAACGCCACCACACTGAGCTACCATAAAATCTCAGCGATTTTTGCATAGAACGGAGCACGGAAAAGAGAAAACAGTTATTCATTCACATAAACGAAGCAAATTTATTTAAAGCCCGGACACTCCGTACGTCCAATCTAGCTAGGGTTATCAATAGACTTGACCATGTCATTTGTCGAAACAGATAAAAGACGTTGGCAAAAATGATCAGACTGAATAAGTGAATCTAACGCACGTATTTTACCAACCGACGGTCGCGCGCCTTCAATACCCTTTCCAATTGTCATTGCGCACCTTGGACACACTTTGGGGAGCAATGCATATTTACATCGCCGCCCGAGGTCTCCATTGAACGTGTAGTACTGACCCAAATAAAATGCTAACCTGACTCTCAATCGCTCACCGCAAAGGACGATTTCGAACAGGCGGTACTGTAGGTCACTTGAGATAAAAAAAAAAGAAAAGAAAAACAAGCTATAGAAACGAGCGTCGTAAAAAAGGGGACCGGCATTTTTATTCCTACCTCCGAACAGAAACGAGCGCCACCCACTGCATCACACAGCGCAGAGGCCGGACTCGGCCACCGCGCGTACATACCAAGCGCGCACGAGGGAAACTTCCTCCGCCGGGAGAACACGGCACATTTCGGGATCTATTTCACGCAGCGGATAACGCGGGCCTTTTCACACCTCGATACTGGCGCCATCTAGAAGTTGCGCGTTAAACCACGTTTCGAGCCGCGCGCCATCTGGTGGCTGAAACGGACGAATAAATAGAGGTACCGCGCCCTCTTAAACTCGGCCGAATACATTGGACACAATAAGGTTGTGCCGGGGAATTTCACAAACGTTTATCCGAATAGTCAGTCCAACCGGTGTCTGTTCAAGGGGTATTTCGCCGTAACTATATTTCCAAAATGTTGACACGACGAAGCTTCGTGGGGCAAGCTTCGCCGACACTTAACGTGCCCACAAACGGCCGATGAACCGTTGCTCCAGGCGAGAAATGTCGAGTTGGAGTACCTAAGCCACGGTCACACTGCCAATACGTCGCAAAAAAAGACAGTCTGCAAACCCGTTCAAAGCATACACGCAAACAAAGCAAACGTGCATCGAACGTGCTTTAGGCATGTCCGCATATAACTCTATCCTCCCGTCCGCAGCCAGAGCAGCGTCTTTCGTACAACGCGTAAGCAGTGCGACTGAGGCCGTGGGCGGTTCCATCCGTCCCGAGCGAGTTTGGGAGACCCGTCGGAGAGGTGCGTCCTTACCGTGCTTCCGGAAGGAGTACAGCTTGTCTGGCAGGAGTCCCCCGTGATTGCGGATGGCCCCCGTGTAGAGCAGGCCCCCTGGCCGGAACCACTCCGGAGCCACGTGGTGCTCGCACACGCCGTTGCACGTGAGGCAGCGGTACAGGCGCCGCTCCTGCAGCGCCCTCTGCGTCGCACTCACCACGAGCGAAGGTCGCACGCCCACGACGCCTGCGCAGAGAGACGCAAGATTTGCACGGAGTCGACGCCGCTGCCAGCCCCCCCCCGAACGCCTTGGTGGGCGTCTTACGGCCATTCTTTCGTCGGCTACGCAGGGCGCCTCGAAGGGGTTAGAAAGCGGCATAAATAAAATATGAGGTAACTATACCACTAGGACCATTGCATGTTCCTATATTTCTGCTGTATCAGTTTCGAAAATGGCACGATAGTTTCGCGGATGAATCGATTTAAGTGCAGGACCCTTGGATGCACCCCGTACGAAAATGCTGCCATGCTCGCCAGGCAACGACGTCGTTCGCCCACTGCACGGCGTCTTCTTGTTTTGCGCTTGCAGACTTGGCTCTCTTGGCGTCTCGCGTTTTGGCACCCACGTTTAACTTGCGCGTTTGGAACGCATGGTTTTGAGATGACGACGTCTACGGCATAGCTCACCTCGTTGGAGTGTTTGACAGTGATCGCGGCAACGATGAGAGAGATTGTTATGGAAGATGCTGGAAACTGGTCATTTTGACTTTGACCGGCTCGCAACCAGCTCCGGCGACGAGATTGTCGCGGACAAACTCGCCATTGTCCGCGACAATCTTGCACGTGCATGCAGAGTGGAAGGTCAAAGGGCAAGGGGACGAGAGCGAGAGTATAGTATGTTGGAGTAGCCGAGTAGCGCGAGCATGGATGCGCCTAGAATGACAGCGTTCAACTGAATATGACGATCGCATGATTTATGGGCACCATAGTGTGACTAACTTGAGCAGTGTTGCCTGGTCGCTGGACAAAAGTAATCAATAATCGTAAATTGGTTATTGGAATTACTAGAGCTCTTAAATAACTCACTAAACTTGGTGCACGCAGCACCAGCCGACTGCACCACGCAGGGAATCGTACCTCGCTGTCCATCGGTATAAAGACAGCCATTCTTCTGGATGCTGGCAAGGGTGATTTACTGCATCGCCACCGCATCGCTGACGCGGGTGCCGTCGACGCATGTGGTGCCATCATGGTGGAGCTGTCTTCCACGAGACGGGTTTGCTCACTGCCCCGCGTGGCGTCTTCTTTCAACACTTTGTGAATGTGGACAACAGCAGCTAAGACTCCGGACTGCTTACGGATGATGACATTGTAGCTGACGTGACTGGCCGTAGGATGGACGCAGGAGATGGAAGCGAGGAGGAGGAGGCTATCGGAATCGACGCCTTCTGGAGCACTCAGTTTGATGTGCATTTCAGGCATAGACAGCAACAAAGTATAACTAACTACTTTCAATAAATGTGAGAGCGGCTTTGGCTGTTTTCCTGCCTTATCTTTTAATTCGAGTTTCGGACAATTCAAACCGATTTTGCATGTCCCGTCGGGGACGAAGTAACGGAAGTCGACTGTACACATATTCTTGCGGGCGAGTTCCATCTCGTGTCAAATGATGACAGTCTTGAAAATGTGAGCATGAGTTTTGTGAACCTGAAACGCGCATCAAACATCAAACTCACATTGACCCTGCATCGAATTATCCGAGTCTTTAAAATGTGAGAGCAAGTTTTGGGAGTCTGAATAAATTTGCATTAATCTCGCGTGGAAAGGTGCAAGGTTTGAAAACGTGCGAGTTCCGCGAGGTCGGCGAAAATCATGTATATCTCACAAAAACGTTATGTGGGTTCAGAAAATGCAAGCGTTAATCTTGCATCGAATGATTCAAATTTCGGAACATGAGAGTTTTGCGAGCATGATGGAACTTAGCGCAATCTCACAAAAAGATTACGAGTTCTGAATAGGCACGTGCGAATGGTGGATTTCGAGTTTGAGACGAATTCAAAGCGAATAGTGGTTTTGGCAGAATATATTCGAATCAAGTAGTTTCTTCAAGCCATTCACTACAAAAATTAAACGAAAATTCAGCTGAACTCGTTAAGGTTCGGAACAATCTTCACAAGTTCAGCTAAATTTTCGACTTCTAAGCTCACTTAATTTTAATAGAACTATGTTTATTAACTCAGGCATGTAAGTGACAGATTTGTTGCAGCTATCCTAACCGAGGGGATTTATAAATCTGCTTGCTGTATGCAAATATTTTCTTAAATTCCAAATTTGGAAAAAAAAAAATCAGTTATGGATGATAATTGCAGGTTGTCAAGACATTGCTGCCCAGTCCATACTCTTGCATAATCGCGGCGGGCTAGCCCAGTTGAGTGCGCTCCTCGCCGAGCACCTGCGCGCTGTGGAGAAGCAATACTCGTGGAGCCCACGAGCTTTGCGGGTATTGCTTCTCCACAGTGGACAGGTGCTCCATAAGAAGCGCACTCAATGGGGCTTTTTTGCTACAATCAACACTTCGAAAAGTATGAATATCGCGGTTCATTTCAAACCGAACATCGAATAGTCTATTATTCGAAAGTTCAAATACTCGCAAAACCCTAGTTCTGAAAATGCGAGCATAAGTTTCCCGAGTTAAGGAAACTTGCACCGAACACGGATCAAGTGATACGAGTTTTGAAAACAAAAGTGTGAGTTATGTGAGACAGGACTCATTTTAGTCTTGCATCAAATTATGAGAGTTTTGAAAAACAGATCTCGGGTTTTGACAGATCTTGGGTTAATCTCGAGTGAACTAATGCGCGTTTCAAACACACGAGCGGGTTTTGCGAGTTTAACGGAACTCGCATCAATTCCACAAAAACATTATGCAAGCCTTGAAGATGCGAGTGCGAGTTTCTCAAGTCTGACTTCAATCTCAAATCAATTAAGGGTTTTAAAAATGGGAGTGAGAGTTTCGCGAGTACGACGGCAGCCCCATCACATCAATCTCTCATGAAACATGCAGAGTGTCGAGAATGTGGGCTCGGTTACCGGTGCGCTTGTAGACATAGTGGTGCACGTCGGCCACCAGGGTTGGGTGCAGGCCGTACTTGTCGTAGAAGACGTCGTCCATGGCCGCCGTGAGGCGCAGGATGTAGCTCTCCGAGAGGTGGTAGTCGCCCCCAACAATGCAGCAGCCGTTGGCGTCAAACTCCATGTACACGTCCACCAGGCTCTGGGGCACGCCCCATGCCTTGGGCAGGAGGGAGCGGGGCAGCTGTGGGAGCTTATCCCCTGCAATCAGAGAAGAGCCACTAAATAATGACGACATCTCGGTCGCCTCGGCGCTTATCCTTTGGAGTGTCACGTCCGAGTATTTGCTCTTCCTCACGCGAGTTGAAACGTGGAGGCACAAGTGTGCAAATATACCTCAGACACTTCCGGCCTTGAACTGAAAGGTGGGTTTTGTAGTATTTGCGATATCAAATCCATGCGCAATCTCTGGTAGATATTCACTTATAGTACTGTTGGACTTAAATGGCATTGCGAATACTCATCTTTCCAAAACGGCTAATTGACAAAAACGATCCATTTCAACCCAGGACCAAGTCTTTTTAGTCGTCACCATCCCCAGCGGGTGTCCGGTGATGGTGAGGAGCAATTTGTGTCGTCATAAGGAAAGCTAGGGAACAACTTGCCAGCAACACCAAAATTGCTGGGAGAGGTGACCCATCTGAAGTGAGCCTTACAGCAGCTCCTCGAGCCGTGACATCAGCGACTTCGAGGAAGTCATGGAAGTAGGAACCTCCATCGACAAAAAAACAAACGGAAGTGATTGGCTGGCGGAGCGATACAAAGGTCCTTGAGGGACATCTGTCGCCCAGTCAGAGACTGCAAGGGGGAGCCTCTCACCCAGGCGCACCCCGACGAGGGGTATGTAGTGGTTGCGTCCCGAGGAGCTCCACGAGAGGCAGAGGGGGGGGTTCCTGCGGTTGAGGGGGCCCCCCCTACACCGCTCCGGGGCCACCAGGCTGGGCAGGAAGAGGGCGGCGTAGTCGCCCAGGCTCTGCATGCCCGCCAGCGAGTCGAGCAGGATGATGGGCCTCCGCAGCACGTTGGCCAGGCTGAACACGTGGATGTTGCGCAGGCCCAGCAGCTCCCCTTCGGGGGGCAGGAACTCCGGGTCGCACTCGGCGATGATGGACGCCCACTCCTTCTCGTCCACAAAGTCCTTCAGCAGCTCCTGCGTGCGGTGGAGGAAACCCATCTCGTACTACCCTCTCTGAACCCTGCGTGCGCTATAATTAATGCTGAATGTTTTCAAACGAATCTAAAAAAAAACAAAAAAACTTGCTGGTAATATTTTTGTTAGTAGTGACTTACCGTAAAACACTGAGCACAAATCAAAGTTTTGAGATAATCGTCTAAAACTGGAGGATGGGTGCTCCTTAGGTCAAAAATAAGTAAAGATATGTCCTTCGTGTATTTTTTGAATGTTACAAAATTGAGGGGTGGCGCTTATTGTTGAGAGGGCGGATGCTCGGTATTTCATGGTAATCGAAAAGCTCCAAGTTTCTATGCCACGACGGCCAAATGAAAAGTAAAAAAGACAGTGTTCTACAAATAAATTTAGTAAGAGCACGAGATCAGTTTCCTTTGAGATCGTGGACTACCGACAGAAAGGATTTACCTTTTAGCTCGTCAAGGTTCGATCAGGACCTTGAAGGGCTAAAAGGACAACGGGTCATGGTATCTCTGTGTCACGATAAAGTCATTAATTAGGTTTCCACTATGGACCACAATATTCGTGCTTCTTAGAAGGAGAGGTAGCACTTTTCATGACACTGAAAGTTATGAGCCCGTAGGTTTCAATGAAGGGCAGTCGAAGCTTCATGCTTCCCAGTAACTACGTCCAGGAGTTATTAACATGAAACAGTATTTGGCTAGGTGTTCAGCATTTCGTGAATCTCATAGGTGAAGCCTGGATAAAAGTGTGGCCGCGAGGCTCGACATTGATTGGTTGATGGAAGGGAGAAAAGTGAGGTGCTCGGTGCCGATTGGTCAACAGGGAGGTTGTATGACCAGAGGAGGAGGCGAGGAGCTTGACCCCACATGCACACCAAGGAAGAAGAGCTCGAGAGTATGGAAAGCGCTGGAAGATTGTCAGGCTTAACAGCCTGATTAGCGGTAGTATCGCTTATTCTATGAACAACTATTAAGTGCACACATGGTATGCATTAAACTTCCTGATTAACGTAGGTGTCTGGTACCTGGAAACTCAAAGCAACGCTAAACATTTGTGATGCTAGAATATTTCCCGTATGCAGCACAATTGCTTAGCAATTTGCCATAAATCTTTTCACAATATCGAATGTTCCTAAGGCAACACTTCCTCTCAAAATTTGTGGTGGGATTGCCAGTATTATTGCCAATGGCGAGGGAACCAATGACAAATTCTGCCGCAGAAATAACATTCGATACAGCCGAGTTTGCATGAATTGAGGGTATGTTTATGTCTGGACCTTATTTATGTTATTTCTAAATTTTAAAGAAATTGGGAACACAGAAAAATTTTAAAGAAATTGGGAACACAGAAAAATTTAACTCCAAATTTCGGAGAATTGGGAATCTAAAAAAATGCGACTTGGATAAACCCCGAAATTTCAGTGAAAACTTGACTCCAAAAATTACCCTCTGGATTTCACGACGAAAGAACTACAAACACCAAAAGCCTAATTATAATACAAATTAACTCTCGACACATACTAAAAAGTTTGTTGTCATGAAATCGACACGAAACTGGCAAACAACAATGACGTGCTAGTTATGGTAACAGATGAACAAGCTTTCATTCCAAAGATTCTCCGTCTCGTCTGCCTGCGCTTTTTTTTAAAGAAGTGCGGCACGATGCGATCCTCGCAGTCGGGCAGCAATTGCACTGCGATGTCATCGCCGTCACGGGAACTGACAAGAGTTTCGACGATATGGAGAGCATCTATTACTCAAGACGCAAGTGCCGCAGTTTATAGAGTCCCGTGCAGCGTTGTCTTTGTGATTTGAGGAATCGCGATTGTGAATGCTACTTTTAATGATTTCTAAGCAGAAGCTGATATATAGGTCAAGCTTGACGGGGAGGGGGTCTGCAGAGATATGAATCACAGGCAAAGCATTGCCTAGATATATTATATTCACCCAATAATTGCCCACACAAAACTAAACATTTCCTCCTAAAAAGGAAATCTAGTGCATGTTTGGTTTTTTTACAGAATGTGAATTAGCCATTAAGCACAAGTGCTTGATCAAGCCTTTAAAGCACAAGTGCATGAACTAACCTTAAGGGACCGTGTTCACACACTTGCAACATCTTAAGGCCCGTTCACACTCTTGCAACCGAGTAAGACCGAGAGAGACCAGACTGGTTTTTAAGCCTCTTGCGATCTCTTAGGACCAGCTTCGCAGCAGCACATCCGGTCCTAAGAAGTCGCAAAAGGCTTAAAAACCGGCCTGGTCTTTCTCGGTCTTACTCGGTCGCAAGAGTGTGAACGGCGCTTGAAAATCTCTTGCGTCAAGAGGATACACTGCTGCCATCTATTGGGTAGCAGTGGAGACTTGGCAGTCCCAAATATATTCTATTTCTTTCGCGCATGATCCTTTCTTGCTTGGCTCAAAAAGCTCCGGTCAACGTTAGAAACAACCATTTCTGATAGGTACTATGCACGTTTGACCTCGGGAATTCTGCAGAACTTTTGCTCTAGTAAAATGCAGTTCCAGGATCATCGCATAGATGGCGCCAGCGTGTTCTCTCATCCCAAAAAACGTTAAGAGGTTTCAAAGCATTCGGTTTTAAGGCAAGTGTGTGAACCAGCCTTTAGAGAGGAATAGAGGAGACAGGCCGCACCTTGTACTTGGCCAGGTGCTCCTCAAGGTGGCGCTTCAGGTTGCAGCGCAGCGGGTGCCAGAAGAGCTCGCGCCCAACCAGGGCCCGGGAGACGGCATGCACCAGGCAGTGGCCGTCCCCGTCCACATGCACAGGCAGCAGCCGGTCCTCGCCGTCATTGTGGGCACGCACCAGGGCCAGGGTGCCCCGCAGGTACGACAGGGACCCCGACACGTCCCGGCCATACCCCGCCACCTGGAGATGTTCCGTCAGGCAGTTAAGGGGCAGCTCCGGGAGTTTTTAAAGGGGAGACCCCAGTCTCAAACGTTATTTTGACATTTCTAAACTAATTTAATATAATATTAATTTACGTGCATTATAAAAATTTGTGCTAAGCACAAACATAAGCTTAATGTTTTCCTACCTGTTAAAGATTTTAAAAGAACCTCACTTCAATCACATATGTTTTGGCCCAACCTTTTTACAATAACCCCATAAAACAATATAATACAAAGTATGTCAGCAAGTTCCTAATCTTAATCCAGTAGAGAGTGCAACAAAACCATTCTTACAATTTTAGGATTGTTACAAAAAGAGTTATTACAAGTTGAAATTTTCTGCTGATAATTAGAAATGAGTCATTAGTCTGCAAATTAAAAGATATTGTATTTATTATACTTCAGGAATGTTTGTCTCGTTGCATTCTCTGATTTATGAGGTATTAAAGGAGTCAGGACATGCCCAAAATAAAATATGAGATTACTATACTGAGAGGACATATTTTATGTTCCTATAGTAACCCTGCCAACTTTGTATTGAAAATGGTGTCACAGTTTCGTGGATATATCTATTTACATGCGGGTCCCTCGGATCCATTCCATTCAAAAAGGCCGCAGTGGCTGCCAGGCTGGCAATGTCACCAGCCAACCGCGCAGCATTTCCTTGCATGCACTCACAGACTTGGCTCCCTTGGCATCTCGAGCTTCAGCTTCCTCGTTTACCTTCCGCGTTTCAAGCGTGCGGTCCGTGACAGTATGTCTACGGCATCGCTTGCTTCGTCTAAACCTTCGACACTGGTTGCAGCAGCGATGAAAGTGATTGTTATCGAGAGATGCTGGAAGCCGGTCATTTGGGTGCAACCCATTGGCGACCAGCTCAAGCGACCGCAAGTCACGAACGAATTCGCGGTGGTCGCCGTTGTCCAGGACAATCTCGCAGGCGCATGCAGGATGTACGGTCAAAGGGCCCGGGGCGAGAACGAGAATAGCGCTGGGGTGTCGAGTTGAGAGAGTGGTTTTGATCGTACTGTGGCGAGGCGAGCTTGGGCGATCATGGGGGCGCTTAGAATGGGAGAGTGTTCATGATCATGTGGTTTATGCGCACCGTGGTGTGACTAACTTGAACAGTGTTGCCTGGTTGCAATATGAAAATGATAAAAATTCGTAAATTGATCGTTGCGATTACTAGGGCTCTAAAAATCGTGAAACTGGGTGTATATACTAGGAAGTAGCCAATTATTTCATCTAAAGAATAATCTATCCGTTTAAAGTTTCTGTCCTAGCCCCTTTAAACCCTGAAAAAAGTATGCCGATAAAAATTCTAGAACAAAAGATGGAAAAAAACTTACTGATGCGACGAAACAATTAATAACGAGAAAACAGCAAGTCTTTCAAAACATGGTTGCAAACAGCCTTGATATGAAGCTTTGAATATGTGTAACTATATAAGTGTACATTTAATGAGTAGTAGTACTTATAATATATATTTGGGACTTATAGATCAAGAAAATGCATTTTCCGCTAAATTGCACCGCACCACCTACCTATATACCCAATTTAGTCTCCACGCAATATTTTACAGAAAACGCCGTGCTCACCTCAACCAGTTCGGGGTCGATGCGAAAAGCCCGGTCGGCCAGAACGCCGCAGTCGAAGGCAGGCCCCGCACCCATCTCGGACAGGGGCCGGGCCTTGCCCGACCGCTTGTCCATGCCGTAGGTCGTGAGCAACGGGGACACCAGCTTGCAGTGGTAGTTGGACAGGCCGCGCACCTTCACCGTGTCCTCCCCGTGCTTGGGCACTATGTTGCCTGCGACGCCAGATGAAAGCGGAGGTTCCGGATGCAACTCGGGTCTACATGCTTCAAAGGTTTTAGAATCGGCAGTACAAACGGCACAACGTCACGGACTAAGTAAAATAAAGACCAACAAACGATGGCATCGACTTACAACTTAGACTTTATTCGCGTCAACGTCGACTCTAAACACTACATCACACGTTGCGGCAAACAAGTCGAGGAATGAAAACTCGCGAAGGTTGCGACACGCATAGTATATATTCATGCTCGTCGTCGGCACAGGTAAAATTTAGTCGCGATTCGGCACCGTTATTTCGTCTTTTACTCTCTCCGTGTCGTCGTGCCGTTGGTACCGTTAATGACACAACAATAGGCCCAATCGTCCACATTGTCCCAGGATTCTGCAAATTACCTTCGTGTGTGCCCTGCCTCCGAACCCTCCAAACTTCCATGCGACAACCTCGATAAAAGACTGCTATTGTCACCGACGCGGTGAGAATCGCAGGGCGTGTCTTTTGAATGCCGGGCCTTCAGCACGCGCTCCGTGCCTTCCACCGTGCTTTGGCCTCGTGCATGTGCTCAACGTGCACGAGACGTGGAAGCATGGTCAAGGGTAGGAAGCTCGCGCTGGAAGCGGGGCCAACTGAAGCTCCTCCCCACCACTCCGTCAGCGACTCTAGACCCTTTTTGAAATTCAGACGGGCGACTTCGATCTCTACAATCATTTCAGAGTATAGCAGGGAGGTAGGAAGCTTCTCGAGGTGACATGACAACACAAGGGGTGAAGCCGGAAGTGTGGAGGGACACGCCCCAACAACGAGCAAAACCAAGAGACGCTATTGGACGAAACGGAGGTGTGAGTCAACAGCAGTTTTGATCACCCTCAGCGCCCCAAGAATGATCCCCACGGTGAATGGCATCTGTCCCAAACTAATGGTGGCCTTCTTGTGGCTGGTGAAGGGAAAAACTGAAGACATACCAGCGAGCAGAGGATACACGAGGCCTGTACTTTCGAGACATCAGTACAACGCAATGCACAAATTATACTCCGTTTCACCTTGCGGTGAACTGCAGCGGGTGCGACGAGGTATCGGAGACAATTTACCGCCGCGTGAGAGTCCCATGACCTTCCTAAGGTGTGCAGCGATGTACAGGTTGCATAGTCGCGCAACACATTTACAGTGTTGGATTAGCTGGGATGGCTTGTAGCGTCGGCTGCAGTTTGTCTGTGATATGAAACGGCCGCATAAGCATTTGTTTCAGAAAGTGGTCCAATAAGTTTGTTTGCACGAGTGTGTATCTGAAGCCTTTCGATGACGGAAGTTTAACGAACGTGGTTACGGGTTACCGCTTCGTGTCGGCTCTTACGTCCCCACCGCCAAAACCGAAACAAATCGACAAGGAATCACGAGGTTATCGAAGAACCAAATTGTATCTGCCACTGATGTGCGAAAGGGACGGCACTCTCCGAAATACAGTTTCACGATCGCCACGCATTTTTCGAAACTGAGACTGCCTTTTGATCCACCCAACAGCACCAAATTTCAAAAAGGACCCACAACCGCTTGGCTTTTGGCGGGAAAGCGTCGGGTCCGCACGTACCGACGAGGATGTTCCGGATGAGGGAGTGGAAGGCGATGCCTGGGTTGGACACCTCCTCGACGTTGCGCAGGGCCGCTCTGTCGTGTCGCTGGCCGCACTGGGGGCACTCCACGCTCAGGTCGTACGAGGGGAAGAAGAGCCGGGAATGGCATGCCTCGTCCGGGCAGCTGGCGCTCAGCACTCGCGGCTGCGCCGGCTCCCGGCCCCCTCCAGGACCCTGGGCCGCCATCTTGGCCCCGTTCAGCTGCTTCCCCAAGGCACGGAGGGGGAGAGTTACAGAGAGAAAGTCTGCGCCGTCGTCTGCTAAAGATGGTGATGAAATGCAAAGGACGGAGCACACGACGTTACCTGGATCGAAAGAAATCGAAGAAAAACAAAATTTCTTTGAACTGACGCCCAATATTCGTCAGACTGAAATTTCGGAATGTGGGTGCTTGTAGCAATTGTGTCAGCGAAAAGACTAGATGGAAAGAAAAAAAAACGAAATTGACTTTCTGAGAAGTTTTTTTTTTCACCGAATAAATGCTACAGGCACTTACAATCTCAAATTCCGGTTTCACGAATATATGTCGGCTCGTAGAGATTTCACTTGTATCTTTTGATCCAGGCGACTTCATGTGCACAAACTTTTGCATTTTATCACCTCCGCTAGTGCCAGATTCACAAAGTTTTACCTTTTGCGATGTGTAGTTCATTTATGCGAGCCGAAAAACCGGGTTTCATTTTCTCAATCTAACCGTGTAGAACAAAGTCAGTTGACAAGCTTCCTAGAGCACCTGGCACCTTTTTGTGGTACATCCCCTTGGTGGCGCTCGCTATGCTGTCAACCCACCCCATGGACAGAAGCGGCGTAACCGGTGGTGAATGCTAAATGCACATTGCCTGCGGTGGAAAGTGATCCTATAGTAGAGTTTATGATAAACAAAAGGTCTGCAGAAAAAGAGTGTCGTTTGTTGTCTGTGGAGGCAGTAGCCTGGCCGGAAATCTTTTTTGTTTTTCAAGGGCTGGGGGGCTGGGTGGCAGGGATGCCCATGACATGGGGTGCTTAGGGGGAGGTCAAAATGCACAAGTATATTTTAGAGTCGGCTGAATTTTTTTAAGCTTCCCCCCTGGCTGCATTACTAAGAGGAGGCGCCGATGCTTATGGCGCAGTACCTATTCCCGTGCGGGCAACAAAAAAAAAACTGTTTTCAAACGACGCTTTTCTGCGGAGCTTGTCAACCGATCATCTCGGAATGTTGGTTGTCTGCTCCACCATGGTGCCTAGAACGTTCTCGACCGGTCCGATTGGCGTCTCATCCCGCCCAGACATCGAAAGCGGTTCCAAGGTGGCAACAAATGATGTCGCAACAGTCGGCGTGTCGTGCTGTCAGATGTCGCGATCTTGGCAATTGGCAGTAGAAGCACCGGCAAAAAGCACGAGCGAATGTGAGTTACGGAGTCCTAACTCCCGGCTACCGAGGACTGTAGAGCTGGACAGCGACCTGCGACAGAACGGGTTTCTGCCACGGCCACCTCCGTTGCTGCGACACCGCCAGGACTGTGGCCAGCAACAAACTGACACTTCTGCGACGCCGCCAGGCAGAAATCGAGGGGCCACGTTTTTGAACGCGGCACACAAACCCGTCGGACACACGTTCCAGACACCATAGACACCGCTACCATAACCTTTTAGTTTTACGTATCCACAAACAGCGCTAAGCCTAAATATTGGTACTCACATATCATGGGAATAGAAAAAAAAAATGCATACAAGGCAGGAAAATAAAAGAAACGAGGAAAGTCATAATCATGCGTGCACTAGTGGCTTGATTGCTCGCCAATAGGTGTTCATGTTGCAAAAAATATCAATCAGAGACTGGTCTATTCTATTTACACGAGTTGCACTCTTGTAATTGGTGGCATAAGCACATACAGTGCAGTCACTGTACGTGCGTATGGTGGCTGCTCTGGGGTGGCAGTGTCATACAGCGGGAGCTTTTGTAAACATTGCATGGGAAGCAAGGGCGTGCGTCATACCAGACGTGCAACGATGTAAAACATTGTGTTTCGAAAAGAGCGTGTTATGTGGCACAGACAGTACGAAGCCACTGCAGCTGACGAAGTCGGGAATAGCACACAGTTTTACACACAGACAACGGTTTATGCACTCCAATGTTGGAATACGTTAAACTACTCCGACTTTGGAATCGTGGCTAACAACGGACTACCACCACTTGAGAAGTCTCTGCACTTCCTGTAATTGTACAAAAACACCACTGACTGGCAGATTCAACACAAAATAATGCTGCTCCCATTCTCTAGATGCTTTTTCAACATGCACTCCTTTGAGTACTCTCTCCATCAGCATGTGCAGTTCCTCAGCATGAAATCAGAAGCTGCACATCCACATGGTGATTCAGAGATCGGTTTCGGAGAAAAACGCAAGGTTTCACTGACATGTGTTATGTAGCCTAAATTTCGCCTGCTGCGGATAAATAATGCCGGATTATCAAACTTTTCACGTATCAGCGCAGTACAGGCTTTATCAGGGCTGTTTGGTAATCAATCTATGTATGCTTATCAAGAAACTATTAACGAGGGCTGCCTACAAGCCGATGAAGTCATCACACGAAAACATAAAACCCCACCTAAAATGACACAACCACTGAGCCACTGGCATTGAAAACTCCTCAAAAACAACGAAAAAATTGTAAGAAAAAAGGTAACAAACTAAACAGCCTCTGGAAACTGAAAATTCGCTTTGCTATCTCTGCTGGCGTTTTGCGTCGACCCGAGCGCATTCGTTCGAAGTATTTGGTTCCCTGACTGCAACGCAGAAAAAATGCCTGAGAATCAGCTGGTAATGCGGGGGGTCAAATCTGCTGGTCAGCACGAGTACCCTGCGACATGAGGCCTAGGTATTCAAACTAAGGATACGGCGCTAAACACTGGCGACGGCGAACAAGCGGAGCTTTATAGCGCGGTTTAAACGCTCGACGGAGCTCAAAACCAGCTTGTTAGCCACAAACGCCATCGAAAAAAAGCGTCGATGGATGAAGAAATCGACGCTTCACCCACCTGAAGTCTCGGCGACGGCGGTCGTCTCCTAACATATGACTGGACAGACGAGAGAAGACGCCACGGAAGGCCACAACTGAAACCAGACGACGGAGCCCAAAAGAATTTTTGTTATCTCTTTTGCGTGTGACGACAACGCGACGTGTGGTCGACGGGCTGTGTCACCCGCACATCGCGGCAACGTCGCGAGCTGCACGCAACGAAAGATGCTTTTTAAAACAAAACACTTCCTCCGTAGGGCTCTTTGCTGCAACCGCTGCAACCCACACTCGCCATTGAGAGTACAGGTTGGAGGAGGAGGTTCGGTGGGGGGCGATAAACGGACTACTACAGGAGGTGGGGAAAGTGGGAAAGAGACAAAATAAACACAAAACGAATGCTGTGCCTAGATTACGGAGTGTTTTCAACTGGTCGAATGGGGTCACGTGGCTTTTGTACTGCGTTTTCAATGTTGCAAGCCGTGCAAGCTGCGAGAACGAGCAACTCCTAGCTAAGCTCAGCCTCTCCGCATGTCATCCTTTTTCTCACGTGATAAATCACACATGATAACTTGCGTTTGACTTGTCCAAAAAACATTCGCCATTAAATCGCAAGCACTTTCCCTGGTTTTAGTTAATTCCTCTCTTAAATCTAGTTTCTCTAAATACGAAAACAATCGGCAGCGCCGCGTCACGATTAGAGTGGCGTTTCTGTGAACTACGCAAAACGGAAAACCTTGTCCATAGCTTTCTTGGTGCCCCTCGGGACCTTTCATTATCTACCAAAGAGTTGTGCTTTGATATAGACTTACCGGGTCGTTTGAGAGGTTTAAGCTCGACAGCGAAGCTACGTATGACACACACACATTTGATACAGAATAGACCATTTGCCAAGCAGGATCAAGGAGAATGCTGGGATTGGTCATCCACGCGCGACACGCGCACGCCTTTCAAGTAAATAACCAAAATAAAGCGTTGACGAACGCGCGTGCAAGATGCCATTGGTTGTAGGTGTTTCTTTTATAAAAGTTACCACTGCTGAGGCCAGCACGTGCGGCGCGTGGAACACCAATCCCTGCATTCTCCTTGATGCTTGATTAAAATATAGCAATAGGTATATTCACCTTTTGCTAAAGCGCTAAGTGAATTGGATATCCAGCACTTTACGTCTTGCACAATCGAAGTGATCCTCGCGGCGTGGGAGTTGCGCAGAGTGGAACCCAATAAGTTACATTAGAGTCACTAAATAGGCTACGCTTTCTGAGTACCGCATTCAAGGAGGTTAGAAGTACTAGGAGGGGGCACGTTGCAATATTGGTGAAGCCTAGTCATAAAAAGTTTAAACGATTTTGTGCCCAGCGTGACCGCAGATCTCTCTGGCGATTGGTGCGCGTGACGTGTCACGTGTGAGATGGATGGTTGATTGTAGGACTCCTTGCAGGCTTGCGCGCGCTCCGTCCGGTAGGTTTTATCAGATCGAAGGCTAGACTGTGGTGTATTCTAGTAGCCTATAGTAAGACGAAGGCTAGCTACGGTCACGTGATGTGGTCACGTCGGCATGTTGAGTGAGGAGAGTAAGGAGGGAAATGAGAAAGAGGCGAGGCGTCAAGGGAGCATGGCTTGTTGAGGCTACGCGGCCGACGTCATGCCCTCTCCTACCCTTCTATTCTCCATGACCGCATTCCTTTTCTTCGGCATTTTGCCGACAATACAGTCGCTCTATCCAACAATATTCTCGTTCGCTGCGGCATCATTGGACAGCGCACGTGAGTCGCTATCATCACCATCGCGTTTCTTCAACGCCACCATGTTGGGCCCAGCGAACCGTGCCTGCTGCTGTTTTACTGTTCTACTGAGCGCGCACGCTGAAGTCCGTCGCTAAGCGTGCCCTTTTGTAGCGTACGCTACACTGGCCGAGGTTGAGCAGTTTCGCGTGGCTCGCATAATGAGCCGTGCTCCGTGCTGCGTATCCGCGAGGAGCAGTGACGTCACGCGGCGCACAGCTGGCGCGCCGGAGCCGCCGCCGCCGCTGCGTTTGCCTCGCCGGTCTGCACATTGCAGAGGAGTGACGTCATAGCCGCGGCAGACGCACTGGCGCCGCAGCGTGCCCAGCTGTCCGCCTCTGTTGCGCAGTAACCAAGTCTGATGCTGCACCGGAGCCGCTTGATAGCGCCTCTCATTTTGTGCGCATAAGCTCACGCTACGTATGTCCTGGCATAGCCGATCTAAGCCACCGCAATTTTTTCCATCTTACGTCGAGATGCGAGCAACACAACCTTGATTCGCTGCCACATTTGCGGATACGGCA